ATCGACTTTGGACCCTTCTTTTTTAAAAGGCAACTTATTTTTAATCGAGTTATTTTAAAGTAGAAGAAATTTTTTTTTTTTTAAGTTTTGATTTATTTGAATGGTATTTTGAATATAGCTTACTTATTGACCCCCTCCCCCCCTTATTGGCTCCGTGCATGAAGTTGGAGGGGAGGGCTGGAAAAAAGTATTCACTAATTCACGGGCACATATTTTGTTATTTTTTTTTTAGCGTTATCTAACATTTTTTATTTTTTAACAGAATCTCCTTGATATTACGTATATTAAGTTGTACGTAAATTCGCCTTTTCCCCACGTTTAGCGTACGTAAATGTATTTATACTTTTTACGAAATCAACAATAGTTACATTATGAAAATCAGTTCATTGCAAAAATTTAAAAAAATAGCAAAAAAAAATTAACATAGTCTAGGTTTAGTTATAGTCAAAATTGTACACTCATCCATATTGTAGCCCATTATGTTTATATCAGTTCATGCCTAAGTAATCCGATCAGTTTATACTTTCGTGGTCGTATAAGAGTACCCTGCTGCAAAATTAATCGAGCTATGTAAAATAGAAATATCTAAGAGTTGCTTTAAGAACTTTCATCAAAATAAAAATTAATTTAAAACAATTTCGAGAGATACTTTTGTATCTGATAAAAGTACAAGAAAAGATATCTTGTGTATTTAATTTCCAATACTTCGATCAAATATAAATGTTTTCACTTTTTTAAAAATAATTTTTAACTTTAATTGACTTCAGGTAACTTAATCAAATAAATTAAGAATTGTTTAATCAAAAATTTTTGTACTTGATTCAAGCATTTGATATATTTGTTGTTCTTCAGTACTTAAAATAAGTCTTCAAATTTATTCATTTGCATTATAATTTCAAATATTTTGGGTTCGATAATTAATTCCAAACATTTTGACGTAACAGAAATGTTATTAAAAAAATTGTTTTTCCAATAAAATATTTTAAATGTTTGCTTAAAAACCTGTCATCAAAACACAAATCAATTTAAAACAATTTCGAGAGATACTTTTGTATCTGATAAAAGTACAATAAATAAATAACACATATCCTACGTTACAATTCCATTTAGAGTTTATATCATACAGGGTAATAACAACATTTTCTTGGTTGGAAATAGTATTATATAAAATTGGCTTATTAAAAATAAAAATTAAGATTTTTACTTACAACATGTTAAAATAAAATAGTTAATTTCTGAAATACTCTCCATCTCTAAGCACCATTTCATTTGTACTTTGCGTTTTTTTTTGGAATGTTAAATTTGGAGTTTTATAAACGATTCTTGCATTTATTTACAAAAAACAAATTGAGTCAACCGTTAGGTGAAGTCAACGTAGTATAAATTTTTGGAGTACAGGGATTGTAAAAAAAAAAAAAAAACATTTTTTCGGAAAATGAAAACACACGCTCGGTATAGATTTTCAAGGTCAATTGCCAAAAAATAATTCTAACAAACTTCAATGATACTATGTAATCATCAAGTTTCATAATATTAATTCGTCCATACCACTGCCAAATGTATTAGAGTAGATTCAAGAAGAAAAAAATTTTTTTTTTACCGATCCCAACTAAATGTAAAACGAGCTCAACTTTCAGAATGTGCCGAGTCCACCGGCGCATCAAAAAAGGCTTCGAGGTGTTCGAGTACTACGCAAACAACCAATGGGACTTTGAAAACTCGAACATAGCGGAACTCCGGTCCAGTTTGAATGCGAAAGAACGAGTACTTTACCAGTTGCACGGCGATGACATGCAGCTGGACGATTACTTCGAGAGTTGCCTCAGGGCCTGTCGAATATACATCTTGAACGAGCCGCCGGAAACTTTACCCGCCGCCCGACGACACATGAGAGTGTGAGTAAATAAATTTTCCGACTCGGTCCTTCGTTGAGTAAAGTTGCCCAACGGATATCATGTTTGAAAAAAAATTGAACGTTGATTCTTGCTAACCGAACAATTAATGGGAAATAAAAATTGCTTGTTCCAGGATGTATTGGGTCGACGTGTTCACGAAAATCATGTTCTTCGTGCTGCTGATCTACATGTTCGCGTGCTGGAGCGACAGCTTCAAGTCACTGATCGTCGGCAGCTGGAAGCTTTAGTTCTGAAAAAATAATTTTTGGCCACAGCAAAGTATTTTTTGTCCCATGAAAAATATTTCATCTTTTATAAAAATGCAGTAGTCTGTCAGACTACTCCTTCAGGACTTATTTTTTTCATGTACTCATACATAACAAGCGATTATTTCATTTTAACTAAGAAAAATCAAAACTGATCGTCCTCTTCTTTTCGTGTTTTTATTCCATAGATTCGACGAATTATTGAAACGAGCAGTTATTTTAAATACAAGAGGCACAAAGCTAATGCTAGAATTGGCCAAAGAAATGAAAAAACTCGATCTCTTTGTACACATAAGCACGGCGTACTGCCATCTTGAAGAAAAGGTAATTTTTTCAAACAGTAATGTAGACGCTCTATTTTTCTGAGGTTGATATTTTTCTCATTATTACGACAGTTATTATTATTATTATTATTATTATGACATGTAACATTATCATTATAAAATTTACATCTACGCTTTAACTTTTATGCAAACACACCTTCATTCACAACGAATGTATGTAAGTTAGGCTTGTAACAATCAAAATTATTTCAGAATTTTTTACTTTATCACGAAATATTTAAAATCTCATCTCAGGATTCATGTGCTTGGTTAGAAAAATTTTTACTGTCTTGTCACTAGAACTATTGCATTCCCAAAAAATCTTTCAGGACAACCAAAGTTTTCTGATTTTTTTTTTTTTAAAGAAAAATTTGAGATGACCGAAGTTTTTTTCGATTTCGTAAATTTACAAGCAGATATAAAAAAATCAACTTGGTCCATTCAGTAGATTATCAATGATTATTAGTACATGTTTCTTTTTTTTTTTTCAAACAACTAACTAAGTTAGATCGTATTAAAACTATCCGATTAACGAAGTGACGTCATAAAAATATGTGTACTTAAAATATAACTTTTTTACGGCAAAGTGGCGTTGCTCCAAATTTTGCAAAAAAAGGAAACATGTCTCTATGTCTTTAAATAATCCACCTGACCTGATTAGGTCCTAATGGGAATCGAAATTTTTTTTGTATTTTTTTATGCACCAAACGCACCCTGTGGACTTGTATTAATAAATCATACAACGAATAAAAAGGTTTCAAAACTTAACTCCTTAGTTTACATATACTGACATAGCCGAGGAATCATAACAAAATTATACACTGTTATCTCATTAAATATTACGAAATTACTCACTTACAAACACTCACTCATTATATCGAAAGTTAATTTGCAAGTAAACGAAAACGGATGTTTTTGAAAAAGGTTTTGAAAACATTGAACTGACGTCTTTGTCAAGTAACCGAAATATACATATTCAAATATCTCATAAATTCAATGTGCACCGTGTGTAAACACGTCAATTGTAGAAAAATCTCCGTCAGAACCTTGATCAGTTGGTCAATTTTTCACGTCATGAATAAATGTATGATTCCACAGTTAAATTAATTATCACTACAAATGTGTTCCTAAAGTCGTACAAAAATTAAAGTAAGCATAACAATTGTCGAGTGCTTGATTAAAAGTGAGGTCCCCTGATTAATTAACGGACCATTGATAATTTTTTTCAATCATATTATTAAAGCTTACCTTCTCTGTTTCGTAATCGAACATTTTTATAAAGCCAAAGGAATTTTATTTGGTTGACCAAGACTCCACTTTTGTGCTCGAAAAAATTGACGTAAGCAGTAATACTGAATCTGCATGAATATTAAAACGTTATTTCCTCTGGATTTATTGTGCATGAAATTCAACAGGGTTATACCGCAGCCAATTTTTCAATAGTAAAAATGAATGAATTTCAGGAGTATGTAAAAACCATACTATTTAAAATCTGTTCGATTTTTAGGAGAAAAATTATGTTTAAAATTAAATAGGCTACACATGGTTGGTGTAAGTTACATTTGATACAAATGTCTTTTTTTAAATTTACAAATATTTTGCATTTCAGCCCTATGTATTTTGACGTTTAATTATTGTAATTTAGTAATTACATAAAATTTTTGACTGCGCACATGACTCGTATTTTGTCACGAAGATAGATAGTTTAGAACAAAATTCAAATATTAATTGAATGATTACGAAATTTGTTTGAATAAATTTATCTGTAAATGTACTTTGTACGTCACCTTATAGTTCTCATAAAAATTTAAAAAACTGACAAAATTATAAGTTTGGTGCTGATTTTTTACTGTTACTAAATTTAATAACTGACTTTGAAGTTCCAAAAAATTATGATCAAACGATGTACGTAGTGAAAAAAAAAAAAAAAAAAAAAATTGGAATACCTGTATTATTTAAACATTTTTGGAGTCAAAATTTGCTGTACGATTATTATTTAACACGCATTTTTCTTTTTGTTTTTTTTTTTTTGCTATCTTTCGTGACATTTTCGACTCGGAGTATATATATCTATTCAACTTCCTCCTGCAACACGCTTGAATGAATTATCCATTAAAAATCTGTACTATGTTTATACAAAGGCTTAGTAGCAAGGAGGCCGGGAGCTTCTTTTCCGTTGGTTAAAACATCTCAACAAATAACTCGTGCATCGAAGGCAAACTTATCAACGAAATTTCAGCTCATTCGGATGAAAATCCCTCGAGGTGGCCTGGGCACGCAGTGCACAAATATTCTGACCACTCTCTCGTGTGTAGGGACCAAAAAATTAATACCAACCCTCCTCCATGCGAGCTCCCGAAAACCAAACAAAAATCGTAATTGGTACACCATGTCACACGTGACCTCTGTGTACCCATGTTATAAGAGCGACGACATGTAACGGCGCCCGATTTTCCGCAGACCGAGCATCGTGATACCGATCTGGAAGGAGCCGGTGCCCGGCTGGACGGACAACTTAAACGGGCCGACGGGCTTGCTGATCGGCGCGGGCAAGGGCGTCATCAGGACGATGCACTGCAACCAGAACAGCTACGCGGACTACGTGCCGGTCGACATAGCCGTGAACGCCATACTGGCCATCACGTGGAACTACCTCGGCAACGCCCAGCACGACAAGCGCGTCTACAATCTCACCAGCAGCAGCGAGTTCAAGGTCAGTCGGTGGTTGTTGTTGTTGTGGTTGGGGTTTCGCGAATTGAAGTGTTTGGGATTGGCGTGTGCCGCAGGTCTCGTGGGCCGAGATAATCGACATTGGCCGCCGGGTGACGGAGAAGGTGCCGCTCAACGGCGTCGTCTGGTATCCCGGGGGCAGCATGAAGAAGAGCCGGTTCGTCCACAACATGTCCGTGCTCTTCTTCCACATGATACCGGCTTACATCATCGACGCGCTCATCTTCCTCGCCGGACACAAGCCCATGTAAGATCGATATTATATTATATACGCGTGAGGTTGCTGGTGACTAGAAAGTTTTTGGGTGCAAGATAAAAAAAGGTTGCACGGGCATCACGAGGAACTCTATTTTTGAGAGAAATAAGTTATCGTTTTTCCATTAGATACATTTCTTCTTTTTTTTCTTTTTTTTTTTTTTTCTATAGCAAAGTCTAAATTAATACTGGGTAGTGAGGTATTTTAAAATGTATATATTGTGTTTGATCAATTGAAACAATTGTTAAATAAATGAGCTTACGTTTAAACAAAGTATTTTAAAACTAAATACAAAACGAAAAAATGCTTGATGTTTTTTTTTGTACTCGATCAAAATGTAAGGACTTTCTGAATTTCTGACAAATCAAAAAGGGTTGCAAGAATTCAAACATTTGTTTTATGGATTACTTGATAGTTTACTATTAAGGAGGTTCCGGCAAAAAATAAAAAATGCTTGGTACCACTGAAAAAAATTAGGTTCTTCTTAAGGATATAACACGTGAGTATGAATTTTTTCAATATTTTTTCCAAACGTATTTTTGAGAAAAAAAAAAAAATTAAATTCCACATTTTATCATAGGCGCTTGTTCAGTAATTGAATTTTATTAAATGTAACTTTTTTGAAGATTTTTCGTGTGATATTTTTTTTATTCTTTAATTCTTTTTTAAAAGGCAACTTATTTTTAATCGAGTTATTTTAAAGTAGAAGAAATTTTTTTTTTTTTAAGTTTTGATTTATTTGAATGGTATTTTGAATATAGCTTACTTATTGACCCCCTCCCCCCCTTATTGGCTCCGTGCATGAAGTTGGAGGGGAGGGCTGGAAAAAAGTATTCACTAATTCACGGGCACATATTTTGTTATTTTTTTTTTAGCGTTATCTAACATTTTTTATTTTTTAACAGAATCTCCTTGATATTACGTATATTAAGTTGTACGTAAATTCGCCTTTTCCCCACGTTTAGCGTACGTAAATGTATTTATACTTTTTACGAAATCAACAATAGTTACATTATGAAAATCAGTTCATTGCAAAAATTTAAAAAAATAGCAAAAAAAAATTAACATAGTCTAGGTTTAGTTATAGTCAAAATTGTACACTCATCCATATTGTAGCCCATTATGTTTATATCAGTTCATGCCTAAGTAATCCGATCAGTTTATACTTTCGTGGTCGTATAAGAGTACCCTGCTGCAAAATTAATCGAGCTATGTAAAATAGAAATATCTAAGAGTTGCTTTAAGAACTTTCATCAAAATAAAAATTAATTTAAAACAATTTCGAGAGATACTTTTGTATCTGATAAAAGTACAAGAAAAGATATCTTGTAATTTTTAAAAATTGTATTTTTATATTTTATTGTAAAATCAACATTAACACTACATTACTAATCATTACCAATAACTTGATCTTCGAAAGTTTTTACATAACCAGCACAAAAAAAAAAAAATCATTCAGTAATTGTTAATTGCAATAAATATTCATGCATATAGTAACCCTATCGTCTAAAAAACATGTATTAATAAATAATTTATTTTTCACAAGTGATCCTATCCGTCAATGCATTGCTCATGAAATGTTATTATCAAACAATTTGTATTGTTACTTTATCATCATTTTTATCCTGTATAAATGTAGTAACGACAAAGTCGAATAACCCACGATGATCTAGAGAAGAATCGTGGGAAAATTAGATTCTGATTAAAAGCACAACCGTGTCTGTGTAGGTTCTGGGAGAAAAACCGTACCCACCACCGGCAGATCCGCACAAAATAATCAAATGCGTCGAGTGGATGGAGGATGACGTCGTGGAAGCTATGACGGATAAAATTCTTGGCGACCTTCCCAACACGTATGCATTTACGAAAGCCCTTTCGGAGGGCCTCGTCGAAGAAGCCATGACAGATATACCGGCAATCATTGTAAGGTACGTAAATCACATACTTTACGATTTGTCTGGTTTGCGTCGTATACTCTCTAAATCCGAGTAGATAAAACTCACTATTGAAGTAAGTAAATATTCACACGAATTGTGCATTTATTGCAACAGTGCAGAGTGAGTATTCACTTATTTTTTTAAGTTAATTTTACATAAGCATTCAGTGATTAGCGGTCCAATTACACCACAAGTCCATTCGTTTTGTTAGAAATTATTATTCTGCTTGATTACTGGTTGGGAAAAAATCCCCACTTACTGAGAGAAAAACGTATTTTTCAAACGTGTGTTATTTGATATTATTATTTGATACATATGTGTATGTACTATTTAATCTATTTAATTGTATAAACTCGTTAAAAAATATTTAGAAGTGGATTTGTTAGTTTTTTTTTTTTTTGTATAAAAATGCATTTTTTAAGACAAGATTTTATCTGAATATTTAATTTTTAAAATGAAAAATTAATAAATAAAAAAAAAAAAAAAAAAAGTAAAATTAACGTGTCAATGGCGCAACAATCATTTACAGTATTGTTGATTATAAGGAATCAAAAAATTGTTAACCAATTATCTGTCGTTATGTTGCAGTTGTTCGAAAAAGTTAGAGACATGCGAGGAATCGAGGCTCTGAGGAAAAAGGTTACAGTTATCAACGGGGACGTTTCGCTTCCAGGCTTGGGACTGTCGGCGGAAGACAGAAATCTGCTGTGCGAAAGAATAAGTATTGTTTATCATGGAGCAGCAACAGTCAGGTGCTTATGGAATTTGATCTATTTTTTTTTAAATAATCACACAGATGGAATTGAAAGCCGTAACTTTAGACATTCATATAATAATTTTTTTTTTTTACTTTCAAATAAATAAAGGTTTTAGAGTTTATTCATACTAACGAGGTTATTAAATATAAATAATTAAAGATTTCAACAGACGAGTGGTGAAAATTTCGGGCTTTTGAATGTATTATTTCAAAAAGAGCAGTATACACTATATTTTAAATGCATTAAAGTTAACGAGTAATTCAGATGGGAAAGCTTTTGTGCAAACGTGATTGTATAAAAATTTAAGGTGGCCTTACATACTTTACCCTCAAAAGTCTTTGGCTCAAACCATTTAAATGTTTTTTGGAACTTGTCGATGATTCTATAGTTTATGGCAACACCTGAGAGTAATGAGAAGATTAATCATAACTCAAACTTTGCACTAAAGAATAGGATAATTTGACGTTAGAATGTAAAGAGTATATAATACTTCGACATTTTTAGATGAAAAAAAAAGTAATTTAAGTTAGAAAAATATTTAATTTTAACAAAAAAAATTGTTTTTAATATCTATAAATTTTTTTTCAAATATTCGGAGATAATCCCACTAATTTCATGAA